TAGATGCTGGTGTTAAAGGTAGACATTCTAAAGTATAGCCCAACACCAAGATTCTCTGATATAGAAAAAGGGTCTGAACGTGCAGAAGTCAAGGTCTTTATTGTATTGGAGGAGATAGGGAAACCTCATTTTCCAGCATGTCTATATTCTAAGTTGCTGTTGTTAAGCATCATTTCAGTGACTCTATGAACAGCCAGCTTAAACCCTGTGCTGTGCCAGCCTCTTCATCTCTGACACACTAGATAGAGCTCATGCCCATCTATCTTGTTGGGGGTCTTGTCCTTTGCTGACCCTCCATCTTTCCAAGCATGATGTCCCTTTCCAAGGAATAGCCTTGACCTTGCTACATGTCCAAAGTGTGAGAGATGAAACTTCACCCTCTTTGTCATCAAGAAGCACTCAGGCAGCACTTTTTCCAAGACAGATGTGGTTGTGCTTTTGGTAGTCCGTGAGATATCCAGAACTCTTCCCCAGCACCACAACAACTCAAGGGCATCAGTTCTTCTTCTGTCATGTTTATTCACTGCCCCGCTCGCTGATGATGTAGCAGGTGACTGAGAAGGCCTTGGCCTGAGGCAGGCGCACCTGGGTCTTGTCCTCCTCACAAGCACAGACAGCTGCCTGAACGGTGCTAATTTGAAGAAATGAAAAGGCAATTCCTGATACATGTGAGGAGAGTACACCACACACAGCATCTAATTGGATTCTCATAATAGCCTGGTTGGATAGGCAAAGAGACTATCATTCTCATAAATACTCTCATTTGTGGATTAAATCTCAAACTCTCCCCTTGTACGTTACTCTTCTAGCCTTCTATTTCTAGGAATATGGAACGATGACCCAGTGGTTTGGATCTGGAGACTTTCTTCGTTCAACGGGATGGCACAAAAGCCACAGAAAGCTGACCTGTTGCCAGGACGAGTGTCTCCATTGATCCCCTCTCAAGTGGAGGGAGACCAAGGACTATTTGATCCCACTTGCTTAGGTCAAACATTTCATTTCTGTCTTTGCCACCTGGGTTTATAAGCATCCCTATGCCCAGGTGCTAAGAAAGCAGGACAGGGTGGCATTAGGTTATTACTAGCTGAAGCAATGAGTATATCTCTCTTAACTCCTCTGCCTGGTTCCAGGTAGGCAAAAGCTGGACTTCTTCCACCCACAAACCCCTTCCTGGATGGGCCCTGAATGAGTATTTCTTATTGTTTCAGAAAAGCTACCCTTACTGGAGCTCCTCCTCCTATAGGAGGGCAGAGGTGAGGGAAGAGAAGGTAGAGAATTCTAGCAAATTCTAGAATGTTTTCTTATGGGGCTGAAGAAGAAGACTGAGAGGACAGAGTTGGACTGAGTGTAGTGAAAAGGTGCTTTCTTTGAGTTTACTGGAATTGGGAGGAAGGGACACTAGTGGCATCATGTATGATGTATATGCTGGGATGCTAATCCAAAGGGTAAGGATTCAAATTCACCATGGATTCTGAGGGATCTACCACCTCAGAAAGGTCATGGCAGTGGATTTGGTTTTGCTTGGGTAGTTAGGAGGGACTGGAGGAGGAGAATGCCTAGGTTCTTAGACATCAGTACCAAGTTGGTTAGAGAGCAAATGTAGGAAACAGGAACAGAGAGAGACTTGAGAATAGGGATCACTTTGGCCATAAGGCATCCTGGATGCCTGGATGTCTTTTCTGTTAAACTGAGATCAACGAGCAGGGCCTCTACAATATGTAGTTTCACAAGTTTCCACTCCTTCATGCAGTCAGTTCATGGGTGTGTGTGTGTGTGTGTGTGTGTGTGTGTGTGTGTGTGTGTGTGAGAGAGAGAGAGAGGGAGGGGGAGAGAGAGAGAGGAAGGGGGGAGGAGAGAGAGACTGGAGTAGGCTCAGGAACACTGGAAACACGTGCTGTCTATGGCAAAATTCCTGAGCTCCTAGATACAAGTTTCACAATCAGCCAGTGTCCCCCATTTCTGTGCAGATCAAGAAGCTAAGGCCAACAGAGGGAGGAGAAATAGTCCAAGGTCACAAATGTAAAATGGTGTCAGGCATAGGACTCTGGACTTCTGTGGGCGGTGAAGTGACAGAGATCCAGTTGGAATGGATCTGAGGACAGGTGATTCCATTTGTGGGGAAGGGAACCAAGCTGGATGGATGCATTGATGTTTGGCTACCAAGGAAAGGTTGGGCTGGAAGACACTTTCCTGGTGGCCTGCACTCAGAGCTCAAGTTGGAGCTTTTGGATGGGGGATGGGGGGGCAGGGAGGGAAGAGAGAAAGAGAGGCGTATTCTGATGTGAGTAAATGATCACTATGTCAACAGGTGGTCCTAAAGCTGGAAAGTCCTAGAATCTTGAGATGGGATGCAACTCATGACACAGACTTAGTCCTGTGCTTCCAGAAACAGAAGACCTCTCTTCTCTTCCCCACCCCAGCACAGGTTAAAGGCCAGAGGTGTATATCCACAGCAGGCCACGCATTACAGGGATGCGCAAGGGCCACGAGCTTGAGATTTATGACGCCAGCCTGTGTTGGAATGATTCAGTTATGTGTCTTCCAAACCTGTTCTATAGAAACGAAATTTGAGGCAGGTTCAAGGAAAATGTGCTCTACCTTGAGGGCAAGGTGGAGGAGAGCATTCATTTTAACTTCCAACCCTTGGAAGTTAACTTGTCACCTTGTCCACTGGAACCCATGTTGGGTCCTGGAGGCATTGCCACCCGCGCGCAATTTAGAGTCTTCTCCAGAAGGTATATTCAGTTAGAAGCAATTATGATGATGGTTCACCGCAGCCCCTGTACCTCGGTCTCAAAGCAAAACTGTTTCTACCGGAAAAAACGATGCAGAGCTTGCTGTCTTCTTGGTTCTGACTCTAGACACTATCTCAGTCTTGCACCTGAGCTGGATGGAGATTAGACCGCAGTTGCTTGGTCGTTTTTCTTACACACAGTACCGCGTCCCCAGGCGCCCCGAAGTTGGACAGGGCTCTGGCCAGCAAGCGCCAGGGCCAAGGGCCCAGGGAGGGCGTCTGGGAGGGCGCTGTCCAAACGGCAGAGCGGCCGCGGCGAGCGCCTCCCCCTCCCTCGCGGCGCCAGCACGCGGCCCCGCCGGGCTCGGCTCCCAGTCGCCTGCCTCCGGCCCGCCGGGCACACGCCTGGGGCGGGCTGCAGGCTGCGCCAAGGCCGCCGCGGTGCCTGCGGCGGTACCGAACAGTCTGGGATGCTCCTCCCGCGCCGTACAGCCTTCCTCCGCATCCCCCGGACCCACTCCAGGAATATTCAAGAGGGCTCTAGTTCTATGCCTCCCTCTTAATGGGTTTGCAAACAACCTCTTGGACGGAAACAGGAATGATGCTATAAGCCATCCAAGCTTCTCCTGGACACAGGTGTCCCTGCCCACACAGACTTCCGATGACAACCGCCTCCCACTGCGCTCCACTCAACGCGTTTGCTCAGCTGGAGGGTCCACATTGATAGTTGTCAGATCTTGAAGGGACCCACAGCCATCCCACAGGGCCGGGTAGAATTGCCCCATGGAGTTCCTGAGACTGTAGCCTTTATAGAAGCAGACTGCGCCCTCTTTCTCCTGCAGAGCAGAGTGACCTACGGAGTTGAACCCCCAAACCTTTGGCTTAGCAGCCGAGACCTTAAGCTACTGCACCTCCAGGGCTCCTGGGAAGGGTCATTAGGGACAATGCAACCATCTGTTGCCACAGAGGAGAAATGAAGCTGGGGAGAGGGCCGCTCATTGAGGAGCTGGCCAACAGGGTGAGGCTGAGGGACCAATTCACAACACAGTACTTTTTTCACTACACTGGACTGAGTTCCTTCATCTTTCTGAATGCCAATCATGTAAATGTGCTTAGGCTCCTCGGTTGGTATTTGTTTTAAGATCTCCAAGAGAATGGCAGTGGAAAGAAGAAAAGAGACAAAACTGGAGCCCCACTCGCCTCTGACTTCCACAAGACTTCTGTGCCACTTTCTTTGCCCAAAACCTTTATTGCGCTTTGCTCCAAGTCCTCAGGAGAATTCCTGCTTAGCCCATACGCCCCAATATCAGGGGCCACTTGCCCCTTCTGCAAAGCTATCCCCCCCCACCCCCGCCCGCCTTTCTAGAGCCACCCCCGTCTGCAGCCCGCCGCGAGCGCGCCGCCTGTTTATTCAGCCCGGAGTCCGGCACGCGCCAGGCGCACGCACTGCAACAACAAACCCGACTGAATGGAGAGTTTGCAAGGAGCGGGCGCAGGGAACGGGCGGGGGGAAGGAGGAGGAGGGGGAGTTTAGGGAGTGGGAGGGAGGAAGAGGTAAGAGGAGGGGGTAGTGGGGGCTGCAGCCGCTCGCTGCAGCAGCGGGGAGTGGGGGGCGAGGCGGGGCCAGGGCAGCGCGTGGGGCTGGGTGTCCCATTGAAAAGGCCGCCGCACTCCGGCCGCCCAGCACTCTCTCACTTCTAGCCAGGGAACGTGGAAGGCGACCGGGAGCCGACCAGGGAGGGAGAGGGAAAGAAGGAAATAAGAAAGAAAGGTGGTTAACAAAATAATAAAAAAACCCCAACCAGCCAGAGCTGCGGCTGGAGCGAGCGGGACCCGGCGCGAGAGAGCGAGCGCAGCCAGAGCGGGAGAGAGCGCGGGCGACTCAGCAGAGCGCGCCCGGCACCGACTTTTGCTGCTTCTTCTGCCTTTTTTTTTTTTTTTTTAAAACAAGGAGGCTCAAGCGGCAGCCTCACACGCGAGCGCCACGCGAGGCTCCTGAAGCCAACCCGGGAAGGGAGGAGGGGAAGGGGGGAGGCGGAGTGGAGGGAGGAGGAAAAGCAATCGCACCTTCTTTGCTCTCACCCGGCAAAGTCTCCCCGGGAATTGTGTCCCCCACCCCCAATTCCCTCCGGACTCCCTCTTCGCCTCTCTCCTCCTTTTCCTATCTGTTCGTGCACCCAAGCTCTGTCCGTGTCTCCCTCCGGCGCGCCCTCCCCTCGTGTCCCCACTCGCTCCTTTTTCCGCGACTCCTTGGCCACCGCTGCGCATGGAGAGCTCTGCCAAGATGGAGAGCGGCGGCGCGGGCCCGCAGCCCCAGCCGCAGCCCCAGCAGCCCTTCCTGCAGCCCTCAGCTTGCTTCTTCGCCACGGCCGCGGCGGCGGCAGCGGCGGCGGCGGCGGCGGCTCAGAGCGCGCAGCAGCAGCAGCAGCAGGCGCCGCAGCTGAGTCCCGCGGCCGACGGCCAGCCCTCAGGGGGCGGTCACAAGTCAGCGCCCAAGCAAGTCAAGCGCCAGCGCTCGTCCTCGCCGGAACTGATGCGCTGCAAGCGGCGGCTCAATTTCAGCGGCTTCGGCTACAGCCTGCCGCAGCAGCAGCCGGCCGCCGTGGCGCGCCGCAACGAGCGCGAGCGCAACCGCGTCAAGTTGGTCAACCTGGGCTTTGCCACCCTGCGAGAGCACGTCCCCAATGGAGCAGCCAACAAGAAGATGAGCAAGGTGGAGACGCTGCGCTCGGCTGTCGAGTACATCCGCGCGCTGCAGCAGCTGCTGGATGAGCACGACGCGGTGAGCGCCGCCTTCCAGGCTGGCGTCCTGTCGCCCACCATCTCCCCCAACTACTCCAACGACATGAACTCTATGGCCGGCTCTCCAGTCTCATCCTATTCCTCGGACGAGGGCTCTTACGACCCGCTCAGCCCCGAAGAGCAAGAGCTGCTCGATTTCACCAACTGGTTCTAAGGAGTTCGGCCTGGTCAGGCCCTGGTGCCCGAGAACTTTGGAAGCAGGTGGGTGACATTTTGGGCGTGCGTGGACTGACTTGCCTCCATCCTTTCCCCCACCCTCACTCCAGCACCGTACAGTCTGAGGGAGGAGGGGGGAGTCTGTCTCCATGGAGCTGGGGGATGAGTGTGGGGTATGATGGTATTTTGATTTCGAGGATGTGTTGCCAAGTTTGTCAATTTCAGATCCTAATTTGTTAGTTTCAGCCTTTGGCTTCCAAGAGTGGGATTTGCGAAGGAGGGGAAATGAGCAGAGGGGCGAGGTGGGTGAGATGCAGGATAGCCCAGGGCTGGCACTTGGCTAGAGGGGCGCTATACCTGACAGATACTCCGGCAAACTTGCGTCACAGGTTCTAAGTTCATGTTAACCTCACCTGTTCTTCTCTTTGTATTATAGGGTGACCGCAACCGCACAACCTGCATCAATAGCGTTTTCTCCTCAGCAACGTGGGGAGAGTAGGGGGATAAACACACAAAACAAAGAAAAAGATGAAGATGAGAAAGGGAGGGGGGTACACCAGTCAATCAACGCCAAGACCACTGAGCACCGCGTGCAGGAGCTGCCAGGCTGTCGAAGAAGAGGGGTGCACTTCGAACAGTACCTTTGCTCTCCAGCCAGTCACGGAAATAAGAGACTAGGACCTGAGTCAATGCACAGATGCAGCTTGTGTGCAAAGCCAGGGGGCTCCTGGTGGGAGGGAACAGCACATGCCCCCCCCCCCAAACTCCCACCCACCACTGACATGCAGAGTCTGAAGTGCTAGCTTGGGTGCCTCCACTGACCCACCACCTCTCAAAACCCAGTCCTTGAGGAGTGGGTGGGAGACTCATCTCAGCAAGCTGTGGACATCTGTCTGCAGTGACACTATGTGATACTCAGTCTTTTGAAATTCCAGGCCTCCCAGACCCTGCTTGCCCCAAGACCTCCCTCACACCATCTTTTTCTACTGTTTTCATCATAGAATGCTTCCAACCTTTTGTGAAATTTTTTTTATTATAAGAAAAATCTATTTGTATCTATCCTAACCAGTTTGGGGATATATTAAGATATTTTTGTACATAAGAGAGAGAGAGAGAGACAGAAATTTATAGAAGTTTTGTACAAATGGTTTAAAATGTGTATATCTTGATACTTTAACGTGTAATGCTATTACCTCTGCCTACTTTAGAAGTGTAGTTCACTTGACATCTGCCATTTTCCCTACGTGGTTTTGTGAAAACCTCTCCTCATAGGTGAGATCAAAAGGCCACCAGATGTACTTCAGCACCAACGTGTCTTACTTTATAGAAACTTGGTTAATGTATTAATGATGTTATTAAAGACTGTTCTAGAAGAACAAAGTTTATGCAGCTACTGTCCAAACACAAAATGGCAGCCAGTTGGTTTCGACAGGTTGTCTTTTGGGAAAATTCTATCACTGCCTTTTTTTTTCCTTACTGTTTTATTACAAACTTACAAAAATATGTATAACCCTGTTTTATACAAACTAGTTTCGTAATAAAACTTTTTTTCTTTTTTACAAATGAAAATGACCAGCTGCCTCTAAGACTTCTTTAACTCTAGGCCTCAGGGCCAAGGGGAAGGAGTGGGTGGGGGACAGGAGGGAGGTTCTGAACATGCTAAGAGCAGCAGTGCCAGAGCCAACAGCGTCTCTAAGATGCATGTAGAGAAGGGGAAGTATGTAGATGAGTTCTTTTTTATTTCCTTCCTTTGCTAGATAGATAGATAGATAGATAGATAGATAGATAGATAGATAGATAGATAGATAGATATAGAACAACCGAACTGTGTTGCCTTTTAACCAATTCAGACTCATAGCAAACCTGTAGACCTGTAGTGGTTAATGCGTGGAAGGCCCTTTGATGAAATCCCTCGACATTGGAAAAAAACAACAAACCCCAAAACACCAAACCCGAAAAAAAAAACCCCACCTAACTCCCTCAAAGAGCGAAGTGGGGCAAAGAGAGGGCTTTCTGCCCCACTTTCCAACCCAGGTCCCCACTCTGAGTTTCTCATTGTACCTCTGGGAAGGGGCTTCAGGGAATAATGGCGAAAAAATGGGGTGCATGGGTGGATGGTGGGACTAGAGCTGGGGCAGGGACGGGGTGGTCACTCTATGGGGTGGGTGTGCCCCTCTCGCTGCACTCCCAGGCACATTTTCTACCTCTTCCTCCCCAAACCCACACACTTTCCATATTGATTTTAACTAAGAGGCGCGTCTACTATACATTCCTGGCGGAAGGCGTTAGATTGAAACACGTAAAAACCCTAGAAATGTGTGGTCTCTTTGAGGCACTGGCCCATCGAGGCCTGTGACTCTACCCGAATAGCGTGAGCTGCGTGTAAAAGTACCCAATTACCAAGATTCAAAAAGAAATTAGTGGGTTTTTTGGCTAGCTCGCTTCTTGTCAGTTAGCAAGGACGTGATCAGAATCCTACTCCGCCTCTCTGGGCTCCTCACTCGGCGCCTGCAGTACTTGCAGATTCCGTTTGCGTGTCTCCAGCCAAGCGGAAAGGCGAGCGCAAAATGCATCTTACAAAACCCAACAAAGAGCAGGGAGCCAGCACGTCTTCCAGAGTTAAAAATCTAGTCTGTGTTGGTACATCTATACCATTTAGCGGCACAGAATAATCATTTTTTAAAGCCGCGATGCTCGGAGCACGACACAGCGTCTGATGTCATTTTGCTAAATGACCCTCTATAGAATGCGCATGGAGGCTTCAGCCCCTTTCAAAGAGATGAACGTAATTAAGGGGGGGGGATCAGTAAATTTCTCCTCGCCATAAATAATCGGACTTTCTGCCAGCAGTGGGCCAATTTAGAGCTTACTTGAGGGAAGTAGTGCTTTTGTGATGTCTGCTTTTTATTTTATCTTCTCCTTTGGAGCACCAGAGTTGGGCTTTCCAGAGACCCCCACCATCACTTTTTTATTTTCATTTCGCCCCTTTGCAAGTTTCCACATATGGTATGCAAGGAAAGTGTAGCAAGTCATTTATGGCTATGAATATAACATTAGGATAACGTTGCAGTCCTCACAAAGGGCTTTCCCTCCCCCTTCTCAACTCCTTGGGAGGACAGGTGTTCTTTTACTTCTGAATGGGGAATATCCAGCCTTCGTTAAACTCTCGAGGCAAAGTTAGCCCTTGTTTGCCACAGTGTGAAGGCAAACTCGGGGAATCACAAACACACACACACATGCACGCACGCACACTTTTGCAGAAGCTAGGAAAGGGCAAAGCGAGGATTGGGCAAAATCTCATTACATCTGCTCTAATCGCTTAGCAACACAAAGCCAGGGCTTGTGCGGCCAAGGGAAGCCATTCACAGCGCCCTGACAGGCCGCATTCAGCCGGCATTAGTCAGCTCCATAAATCACCGGTGCCCATTGGCTGCGCTGTGGGCTTTGCTGAGGCCCCCGGGCTGTCAGCGAAGTACAAAATGTAGACCCTCGCGGCCAGCAAGCCTAGCGTCCTAGCGTCCACCTCACTTTGAGGAGGGAGGGGTTTTTGTGCGCGCAGAGTAGAGAATGGTGTTGATTTTATTGACTGAGAAATCTGACCTATTCAATAAATGGTCTGCACTCCACTGAGTAAGGGCTGGAGACACGCCTGAAATTGATGAGGATGAATTAGGAGGTGGGGGGCGTGTGAAGAAAGCTAGGGAAAAAATAGCCTAAGGCTGCAGAACTGTTGAATGCATGTGTTTCAGATGGATAGGTTTTGAGGGCCCAAGGTTCACCTTTTTTATCTTAAGTGAACGTGGGATATGTGAGTATGGAGGAAAATCTCTGTGGGTTTCAGATCAGCAGGCTCACCAAAGATGATGGAAGAAACCATTCTTTAGCTGTGAGCTTCAAAGGAGCGAGACTGAGATTAAATGGGGGGGGGGAATGGAGCATATATTCCCACCTTTTTGTTCTTAAATAAAGGGAGACTTAGTGGGCTTGCCCATTGGAAGTTGGTCTGTCAGCCCAAAGGCTGGCTGTTCGAATCCACGAAATGCTCTGGAGGAGAAATATGGGCAATCTCCTCCAGGACAATTCAGAGCCTCTGAAAAACTTACTGAAGAGCGAGCTAGGAGTGGAGATTGCTACAGGACAGGAAAGAGTTGAGGTTCTTGTAGGGTAGGAATGCTGGGACACAGAACCACCAGCCCAATTTCTTCTAAGTATCAGTATCCTTGTTTGTAAAGCTGATGGCAGTCATGTTTGTAAAGGAATTAGCAAATGGCCTGGTGGCGAGATAGCACTTCACAACCCATATCTAAATGTCAGCACCTGTCTATTGTTAGTATTATTATCTGCCACTCCTGTTTCTAGTCATTTTGAAGACTGGCTCATTGATGCAAATCACAGCCTAGGTTACAGATGTACACAAACCAACCTCTGAGAAAGAAAATTTAAAAAATCAAGGAGCAGGTAAGAAGTCTGGGTAGGCTTTCCTGCAATTCACAGCTTATTGTGCCTTCCCCACCTACTCTATCTTAAACAACTTTTCACCCTCCTGTGACAGTCTTGTTTTCCTTCTTGCCTTTCACTCCTATCTGAAAATATTACATCTTTTGTTTGTTTACATCCTCATTGTTGATTTACCCTATTAGAAGGGAAACTCCAGAAAATGGGGACCTTGCTTCTGGAGAGAGGTATTTTTTGGATGAAGGGATGATCTACTCTCTTCTATTGGTAGTTGCCTAACTTATTCTCCCAGATCAATCCTTCACCCTTTTCTGTCCTGCTGACCTTTATGGGCTCTACCACTAGAGATCCCTTGTCCACTGGTCTTCTGTTGGTTATGGTCAGTGATCTGAGAGCTAAAAGGAGAAGGAGATTGCATGATAGAGGACAGATGAGTCAGAGAATTTATATCCTTTCTCTCTCACTGTTATTATTGTCATTGTTAGGTGCCATCAAGTTGAGTATGACCCATAGCAAATCTATGAAAAACTGATCTGAACCCTG